AAAAAAAAAAAAACTACAATAATTACAGCCTGCGCACTTAAAATAAACTAAAAAAACACTAAGCTAATAACTTGGGATCTAAAAATCTGAAAATAAAAAGGCATAAAAGATGATTTTTTTTTTCCGGAGTTTTTTTCATGTACCTTAGGTGATGATCTTGAAAGTGTGTTAGCTAGACGCTCAAAAGCAGCATTCACAGAAGCAGCACGGGCATTAGGAGCGACAAGAGCTTGCCCTCCGAGCTTGTGTGATGAAATCACATTACTACTAACGTCAAAATCCTCTTCATGATGCCATGAATGCGTGGTTCGACTCAGAGAATGGCCTCTTGACTTGGTCCAATCAAGACTAGCAGCTTCTTTGTTAAGCTATAAATATCAAAATACATAAAGAAATATAGAAAGTACACAATAATAGAGCCACCTAAGCACATAGCTCCAGTTCATGACAAGCAAAATGAAAAGAACGGTGTACGATACCTGGCTATCTAGCGCGTAGAAATTTGAGTCATGTTCAGAGTACACCATATGTGCCTAAAAATTAAGAAAAATAATTATAACACAATTCGGTCAGAGTAGCTGAAGAAGACTTTATTTCTTTATTTATCGTTTTCAATAAGAAGAATTAAGTAAAAGATAATGGTAACATACAAGCTCGTGCAGTAGAATCTTCTTGATGCTTTCATATTTCCTGAAGCCCTTAAGATCATCGGTTCGGAGTCTAAGTGATATCTCCTCACCATGATTCTACACATAATCCAAACATACCCCAAAAAAAAAATGAGAAAAAAGATAGACAAACCACAATAAAAAAAGAAAGAGAGAGAGAGAGAGAGAGAGAGAGAGAGAGAGAGAGAGAGAGAGAGAGAATCATGAGCGCATATTAAAAAGGAAAACATTTTCATAACTATCTGACCTGGTTGAAACCAAGGATGCACTTTGGGCTAATTCCAACATACCCAACCGGTGCCATCTCGGTCAAAATTCCCACCCGCCAACGATGCTTCAACAAACCAAATTTACAACAGAAATATA